ATTGCTGTACTTATTATAAAACTGGTAGTTTGAATTATCAAATTCCTTATAAGAGCAAAAAAGAGCAGAAGGAAGAAGTAAACAAGTTAATTTACTATTTACAATAACTGATGAAGAATCCAATGTTTATAAGAGGATCACATGTTACTTTGCTACACAATAGTCCTATTATATGACTCGAATAACTCTTGCTCCTCTGCTCCTGAGCTTAGCCACTTTCATTCTCTATTGTCAATTCATGCATAGATGTCTATGTGTCAATCCACCCAATTACACTACATATGAGTTATTGTGACACCCTCCAATTATTTTTATTCTAACAAAAAGGAATTTTGCTTATTAATTCACATAATTTACACAGCCATTGTTTGCTATCAATTTGTTTCCTTATCTTTGAACCTCCTTTTTTGTATCCTATTCTGCATTATTTTGATTATGACTATATAATTATGGCTATTATTGAGGCCACTCCTATAACGAGTCCTACAATCAATCCTATATTGCTCCTTAGTTTATCATCACCATTATCACCACCATTTCCTGGTGATTGACATTGATATTCAGTAGTTGTATCATTACCTGTATACATTAAATACTCAATTATATAAACTATTACACATACAACATACTTATTGGCTCTCCTGTGCTGAAATAATTCATTGGTGTGACTGTAAAGCAATAGGCCTCATTGTATTTAAATCCTGATCCAGTCCATACTGTTTCACCATACTCTATTATTTCATATGTTATTGGTATATTTCCAGTAATGGAATTGTATGATATGTTGTGGTACTGGCTTGGATGCTTCAAACCTGTATCTGGTGATTCCTATAAATTGCTGAAATACATGCATAATAAATCATTAATTGTATCTCACCAGTATTATATTCAGTGTAACATTAGCACAGCAACTATTATTCTTACAAGGATCAGTAGTATTAGTTGTATTTATATGGACACTTGTCACTTTAACAGGAGCTACAAATGAAAAGTAGGTAGATCTACATGTTATTGTGCTTATATCCTTACCAAGTGTGAATGATCTACTGATGTTACTTTGCTGTCCATTCCACCCTCTAACAGTATATGTATAGGTTTCTGCTATGTTTAGTTTATTAAAGTTTATAAATATGACTGTGTTACTAGTATTATATATCAATACACCGGTTGATGTACCATTAAGAGTTACGTTATACTCAGTAGAATTACAATTATTTTCAGTGTCCTCCCATTGTAAAATAACGCCTGTTATTGTAAATGTTGTTGTTATGTTTGTTGGAGCTTTTGCATAATATCCTATTGTTAATATACAAAACATTGAAGAAAGTAATATTTGTTTACTCTTTTTTTACTTTCAAAACATGTGTACATGCATTTACATGAGTCTTAGATTTATTGCAGTTTTGTTGTCCCTGAATTGTTATTTTACATTGTATATATTTAGGCTTTAACAAAATGCAATTGCTTATTGTATGTGCACACTAACCTGAATCAGTAACTGTTGTGTTCATCTTATCAATCTCATTTCCATTTGCACATTCAATGAGTACACTCTCAGAGTGATTAAGATTAAAGGTCAGTATTGAAGTGTTCAGACCCGTATAAGTCGTATTGAACGTGAAGTTATAACCATAATATCCTTCAGGCTTAGTTCTGTTTTTAAAAAATGAAACTACTGGGATTGGGTTCCATTTTAAAGGTTCTACTGGGCTGTAACTTATGAACCATTCTAAAGTACCAGTATTTGTTGTGCACCTGCATTCTATTCTATCCCCTGCACATACTGGCCCATCAGTGCACTGAAAGTTAGTGATAACACCATCTGTATAAAATAAGTAGTGTGTAGATATTAAATAGTTTTAATGGCTTACCTGCCAATCCAGAGTAGAGTAGGATAAGCTCTACTCCTAATAGTAATGCAACAGTATTGAGTAGCATAACTGGATGAAACAATTCCTGTAACTAAGAATGCTATGAGGATGTACAATCTCCAGTGGACCAACTCATGCAGCTGCTTTGTCTTCTTCGCGCAATCAATTTGCCCAACCAGCAATCTCTCTAATTTCTTATCAGAATGTTTTTCACTCCCTCAATGTACAAAAATGTCACTATTTATACCAACAAACAGGTATAAATAATAATTACATCACAAATAGTAATGCATGAATAATTTTAGCATACACAAAAACATTCAAGAGGCTGAGGCAAGCCTCCAGCCGCATTAATGCAGTGAAATTCAATCACATCACCAGAGCCTTACTGCACAAAGTAGTATGGAGTTATGATAACAGAACAAAGGCTTTCAACGTTCCAAATCACTACATATTCACAGCATATTCTGGTTTATTTATTCATTTATATATGACAAAACATAAAATGTCACATGCTGTAGAATTTGAATTAAAGTGTTTTTGGTATAGCACATAGCAGTTGCATTGTTAATCCAATCAATTAAAAATAATGTGCATTTACGATGATTTTTTGTAATAGCAATCTGTCTATATGTGCTGTATAATTGGTGAAGAAAGTGTATTGAAAATAATCATAAGTTGACAGTGTCATTTTAATTAAAATTTTGTATAATGATAGTGCATTGTTGTATAAGTAATATTTCAATTTATTTTTACCATAAATTATGAATATATATCATTTGTAAGACATTCACCTTTTGCAATTCTTTTTTTACACATGATGTACTCTTAGTACATAATAAATTTAAAAATTACTTAAATAAAATAATATTATTTATCTGTATTTGTATATAGCTAATATATGGTAGCTACTAAAAATAGTGTAACTATGATAGCTATGGCTCCAATGATAATTCCGGCCACTGCTCCTGCACTTAAGCCACCATTTCCATTATTTTCTGATGGTGGACATTGATATTCATCAATCGTTATGTTAACATCTGTACATATAAAATACCCTACTCAATATATAAACTATTACTCATATAACGTACTTTTTGGCTCTCCTGTGCTGAAATTATTCATTGGTGTAACTGTAAGGCAATAGGCCTCATTGTATTTTAGTACTACTCCAGGCATTAACACTGTTGCACGAAACTATAAAAGGTACCATTTGATGGATTACTAAATTCATCATTATAAAAAAAATATCAACTTGTGGGTGTTCTCATAAAGTGCAATAATTTATAATATGCAATAATTTTTTTTATCAACGGAGCACAGGAAGTTGGAATTTTCTCACTATAAAGACGAATTTCATTATCCGCCATAAGATACCTTTTGTCAATTACAGTCACATATTATAATCAGTTACTTTATATGTTACTGCCATATTTTCGGTAATGGAATGGTATGATATGCTGTAGTTCTGGATTGGATACTTCAAACTTGTATCTGATTCTGATAATTCCTGTGAATTGTCAAAAAACATGTGTAATGAATTATTAATTGTATCTCACCAGTATTATATTCAGTGTAACATTAGCACAGCAACTATTATTCTTACAAGGATCAGTATTAATAGCTTCAGTTACATTTATTATAACGACATCTGTCACATTAATAGGACCTACAAATCAAAAATAGGTACATGATATTGATTCATGCATATATCCTTACCAAGTGTGAATGGGTTACTGATGTTACTTTGCTGTCCATTCCACCCTCTAACAGTGTATGTATAGACTTCTGTTATGTTTAGTTCACTTGAGTTTATAAATATGGTTGTCTTGTTAGTATTATGATAGGTCAATTCACTGGTCATTGTAGCATTAAGTGTCACTTGATACACAGTAGAAGTACAGTTATTCCCAGTGTCCTCCCATTCTAAAGTAATTCGACTTGGATTGAAGGTTGTTGTTAAGTTTGTCGGTGCTTTTGCATAATAACCTATTATTGATGTACAAAACATTGAAAAGGGTAACATATTCAGTTGTTCTTTTTTACTTTCAAAACAACTTGTGTACATGCATTTACATGACTCTTGTGGGATTATTGCAGGGTCATTGTACCTTGATTGCCATTTTTACATTGTAATATAACAAAATGCAATTGCTTATTGGATGTGTACACTAACCTAAATCAGTAACTGTTGTGTTCATTTTATGAATCACTTCTCCATTTGCACATTCAATGAGTACACTCTCAGAGTGATTAAGATTAAAGGTCAGTATTGAAGTGTTCAGACCTGTATAAGTTGTATTAAATGTGAAATTATAACCATAATATCCTTCAGACTCAGTTTTGTTTCTAAAAAACGAAACTACTGGGATTAGGTTCCACTTTAAAGGTTCTACTAGGCTGTAACTTATGAACCATTCTAAAGTGCCAGTATCTGTTGTGCACCTGCATTCTATGCTATCCCCTGCACATACTGGCCCATCAGTACACTGAAAGTTAGTGATAACACCATCTGTATAAAATAAGTAGTGTGTAGATATTAAATAGTCTTAATAACAGCTTACCTGCCAATCCAGAGTAGAGCAGAATAAGTTCCACTCCTAATAGTAATGCAACAGTATTGAGTAGCATAACTGGATAAAAAAATTGCTGTAACTAAGAATGCTGTGAAGATGTACAATCTCCAGTGGACCAACTCATGCAGCTGCTTTGTCTTCTTCACGCAATCAATTTGCCCAACCAGCAATCTCTCTAATTTCTTATCAGAATGTTTTTCACTCCCTCAATGTACAAAAATGTCACTATTTATACCAACAAACAGGTATGAATAATAATTACATCACAAATAGTAATGCATGAATAATTTTAGCATACACAAAAACATTCAAGAGGCTGAGGCAAGCCTCCAGCCGCATTAATGCAGTGAAATTCAATCACATCACCAGAGCCTTACTGCACAAAGTAGTATGGAGTTATGATAACAGAACAAAGGCTGTCAACATTCCAAATCACTAAATATTCACAGCATATTCCGGTTTATTTATTCATTTATATATGACAAAACATGAAATGTCACAAGCTGTGGAATTTGGATTAAAGTTTTTTGGTATAGCACACAGCAGTTGCATTGTTAATCCAATCAATTAAAAATAATGTGCATTTATGATGATTTTTTGTAATAGCAATCTGTCTATATGTGCTGTATAATTGGTGAAGAAAGTGCATTGAAAATAATCATAAGTTGACAGTGTCATTTTAATTAAAATTTTGTATAATGATAGTGCATTGTTGTATAAGTAATATTTCAATTTATTTTTACTATAAATTATGAATATATATCACTTGTAAGACATTCACCTTTAGCAATTCATTTTTTACATATAATGTACTCTTAGTACATAATAAATTTAAAAATTACTTAAATAAAACAATGTTATTTATCTGTACTTGTATATAGCTAATATAATGGTAGCTACTAAAATAGTGTAACTATGATAGCTATGGCTCCAATGACAATTCCGGCCACTGCTCCTGCACTTAAGCCACCATTTCCATTATTTTCTGATGGTGGACATTGATATTCATCAATCGTTTTGCTAAAATCTGTACATATAAAATACCCTACTCAATATATAAACTATTACTCAAACAACATACTTTTTGGCTCTCCTGTGCTGAAATTATTCATTGGTGTAACTGTAACGCAATAGGTCTTATTGTATTTTAGTTTTAATACAGGCATTAACACCGTTGTATGTGACTATAAAAGGTACCATTTGATGGATTACTAAATTCATCATAATAATGAAAAAAATATCAACTTGTGGGTGTTCTTATAAAGTGCAATAATTAATTTTTATCAATGGAGCACAGGAAGTTGGATTTTTCTCAATATAAAGACGAATTTCATTATTCGCCATAAGGTACCTTTTGTCAATTACAGTCACATATTATAATCAGTTACTTTATATGGTACTGCCATATTTTCGGTAATGGAATGGTATGATATGCTGTAGTTCTGGATTGGATACTTCAAACTTGTATCTGATTCTGATAATTCCTGTGAATTGTCGAAAAACATGTGTAATGAATTATTAATTGTATCTTACCAGTATTATATTCAGTGTAACACTAGCACAGCAACTATTATTCTTACAAGGATCAGTAGTATTAGTTTCAGTTACATTTATTATAACGACATCTGTCACATTAATAGGACCTACAAATCAAAAATAGGTACATGATATTGATCCATGCATATATCCTTACCAAGTGTGAATGGGTTACTGACGTTACTTTGCTGTCCATTCCACCCTCTAACAGTGTATGTATAGGTTTCTGTTGTGTTTAGTTCACTTGAATGTATAAGTAAAGTTGTTTTGCTAGTATTATAGGTCAATACACTGGTTGATGTTCCATTAAGAGTCACTTTGTACACAGTAGAAGTACAGTTATTCCCAGTGTCCTCCCATTGTAAAGTAACTCCACTTGCATTGAAGGTTGATGTTAAGTCTTTTGATGGCGCTGCATAATAACCTATTGATAAGAATTTCATTGTTGCAATATCAAGCATCTGAAGATTGCAATTGCTTTTTGTACACTAACCTAAATCAGTAACTGTTGTGTTCTTTGTATTACCATCATTGGAATCTGTACATTCAATGCGTACACTCTCAGAGTGATTAAGATTAAAGGTCAGTATTGAAGTGTCCGGACCTGTATAACTCGTATTATATGTGAAATTGTAACCATAACTATATATTTCCTTAAGTGTGCCATGACTAAATTTTTCTTCTGTAACCTTGTTCCATATTAAATGTTCCACTTCACTGTAACTAATGTTCCACTCTAAAGCACCAGTATCTGCTGTGCAGTTGCATTCTATTCTATCCCCTGCACATACTGGCCCATCAGTACATTGAAAGTTAGTGATAGCACAATCTGTATGAAATGAATAGTGTGTAGATCTATTATCATTAAATAGTCATAATGGCTTACCTGCCAATCCAGAGTAGAGTAGAATAAGTTCCACTCCTAATAGTAATGCAACAGTATTGAGTAGCATAACTAGATGAAACAACTACTGTAAACAAAAGTTTACGATATTCATAGGGATCACATGTCACTTGGTCCCCGCCCTGGTTTGATTGTCAACAAGTTGACAAGATTGTTACACAACTGTTTATTTTATGATAGTATATTTATAATTACAATGACACTGAGGCTTTAAGCCCAGTTCACGATTGTGTAAACCTCTGACATTGATATTATTAACATTGGTGTGCTGTAATAATTCTGTGTTACATTTAATGTCAACTTTAAACCAAGTTTTAAATTGAAATTGAATAAACATGACTTCAAATAAGATAAACTATATGAGCATACAGAGGACCTATATAAATATAGAAATAATTGAATGTTTACTTCAAAAATCAGTGAGCCATTATGAAGCTGTTAGCCTTTTTCTTGATTGCGGTTTTGTCTTTGTCAAGTTCAGGTTAGTCAGGTTTTATTTTAAGATTATTGTTCCTATTGTATCATTAGATGGTGTGACTCTGATATGTCCACAACCTCAACAATGCAATACCAGCACTTTAACAGCTACATGTCAAATATCAAGCAACGTCATAGTCTGGTCAAGGAATGGAGACCATTTGGTATCATACACATTCACCTCATCAATTGGTAGCAGCAATACCTTTGATGGCTTTATATCTACTGTGTTAGTGAGTCGCAATCCAACTACATCCACATTCACTGTCAATGTGGGCCATGATTCATTTGAAGGAATTAGTATTAGTTGTACTAATGGATTGAATGGACAAAAAAAACACTGCACAATACAAACTATAGGCAAGTGGAAATTATAAGGTTTTTGTGTCATATCTCATCATTAGATCCTCCAAGTCCTCCAGCTAATATAACAGTTACTAATATTACTGAGAGTTCTATTGGTCTTGAATGGAGTCCACCAGCTTCCCTCTCTACTGCTCCTATTACTGGCTACATTGTTAATGTGTCCTATGTAAATGGAACTAGTTTCAACTGTCCTGTCAATCAGTGTAACCTGACAACTGGTGATACTAACAAGACTCTAATATCAGGACTTAAGAATGATACTCAATACTTGCTCTCAGTCTCTGCTATTAATTGTATTGGTGAAGGTAGTTACAGTCCTGTGATACAAGTCACTACTGGTATGTGTATGTATATGTGTTTTATTGTTTTATACGGTTGCTATGTATTAATAGGTAAATCATCTGTTCATATATCA